AAAATAAATACAAATTATTTAGTACGTCTATATAGCGGTTTATTAAAATAACATTTATTCCAACAATATTTTGCTCCTGTATTGATATTAGTATGTTTAACGCCAGTACGTTTAAATATATTTATTAGTGACAGAAACGTTTTGAAGATTTTACTTTGTTATATAATATCGTATGTATTAATTATTAGTCGACTCACAATTAGAGATGTATGTGTGTTGTAAAATGCGATTATCAGATATACATCATGAAATTAATACGAAAAACCTAAAGAAAAAGTTGTGATTAACAAAATAATTATGTGTTGTGTATATATACATAACACGCGCATATATACACGTACCGTACACGCGCCTGCGCATACACACTTTGAAATTTTTTTCATGTATAATATTCCATTGAATACAATAATATTGTTGGACCTGCATACAATATATAGACAGATAATGCAACATTCGTATAACTGTAAAGTATACTAGGAATTAATGTATACGATATATACACATATTTCTCGTGTGTTTTTCGATTACATAGGACTCTTTTTTTTACGAAAAAAATACATCTCGCTCTGTAGATTTTTTTCCTTGTATCAAGTTAATTTGCTTTTTTCTACTTTTTATGACTAAAATTTATCACACACGAGACGGTTACGGTAAGAATTCTTTTACTCTATAAATATCTACGTGAAAGAACAATCGGTAACACATACAGGAGAGAACTGGTAAAAAACTCGTGAGAATATAATTTCGCAATTCTTAAAAAATAAATGTAAATTGAAAACGATGTAGGCACTTGATTTTTTACATATAATTTTCACTTTCACGATACGAAGTTGTATTTAACGTACAAAAGTTCTACGGTGATTTACGAGAGATTTGCTTCTTCTGGAAGAAAAGATGTGTCTTATTGTTAGAAGAAATGTTCAGTTATCATAAGTCGAGCAAACAGTTCCTTACCATACACATCTAATGTGTCGTGCGTAGTTTCGTGTAGCGGATTTTTTTCATGTTCAAAAAATTAACAAGAAAAGAATCCGCCAATATTCTCCGTGTAACAATACTTTTATACAGCTTTTCATAATGATCATTTCATGCAACATTTATCAACACAGCGGCATCATGGTTCGTTTAAATAATGCTTGTTCTAACATGCCACTATGTCATAGAGATTATAACAAAAGATATAAACAAATGCAATAGATATTTATAGAAGTAATTAAAAAATAGATACAAGTTGAAAAATTTATTTTTTTCAATGTTTTCACTTTTGGTGTGCATTTATTAGAAGAACAAAAAAGAAGATTAAAATAAAAAGTTCACAACAATAATTTAGTTCACAACAATAATTGTGAAAAAAAAATGAAAGATAAAAGAAAACTTCACGTAATTAATGATTATTTTTATAACTAGTCGTAAATTAATATAAACATCTAATAAATTATAATTTGTTAATATTTTCATTATCTCTCATAAGGAAATTTAAATTCAATATTTTCATGATTTCATTCAAGTTCATCAATATGAAATCGAAAAATTTCATTGTAAATTATTAAACTGCAGATATTTATACAAATTCATATTATAAACTATATGTATTAAAAATATCATTATAAATATAATTATTCAAATTATAAATATAATTAAAGAAGTGAAAACAATGTGAAAAATTGTTTTATTTTCTAAGTATTGTAACAAGTATATTTTAGATTTTACGTCTTCGTAGATTGTATATAACTTGTGCATTTTTTACCTTCAAATTTTCCAAAAATGCATAAAAATCTGCAATTTACAAATTACTAACTCATTTTCCATGCATTAGAAATTTTATATTATTGAATATTATATAACAGTTTTTAAAAATCTCCGTTTAAGAGTCAGTTACACATTACATATTTTTTTGTTTCTTACTATTTTATTTATTATCTTCTTTACCTTTTAAATCATAATTAAAAATTGTTACATTTTTTCATCAATTTACTTTTTCTATTGCAATTTTCTCTATAATCTCAATTTTCTCTATAATGCTACATTAAACTATGTTTATGCATTTATGGGAAACTCGATGATGCTAAAATCCATACAATGTGCTTAAATATATAAAATATTTAAAACAGAGTATTTATTATAATATTTAACAGATGCATAAAAATTCACAGTCTAATTTTGAACTTAATATAAATATATGTAAATGGCTGTCCAATTACATTTAATAAAAATGAATCACACACGTATATGTTTGAAAGCAAAGTACTGCAAATTTTGTTAATCGAACCTTAAACAATAGTAAAAGAATTTGCATTATCGAACCATGAAGACACTGTTAGCTTATTAATCAATCTTAGTTTTGATTAATATGATTGAGCTCACATCGTACATGATCGCGAATTAATCGTTACGAATTTATTAGAGTTGGTCAGGTTTAAAATTGGCAAGAATCATCGAAATATAAACTAAATTCATATTGGAAATAAGTTTATTATTGTAATATCGCAAAATGCCAATTATATATATCAATATTTATAAGTGCAAACTAGTGATTTTAAGTTTTCAAATCGAACGATCATGTATTATGTGAAAGTTATGTTACATATTCATCTTTCCGCTAGTATTGAACACGTATTTTCTCTCTGAGGCAAAGTATTTGTCATTTTTTTTTCTCTCTTTCGTTAAGGAATAATTTTAGAATAGGAGGGAATCATGTTAGGAGGCATGTCGTGATCGCATGTTTAATACACAAAGTAGGCCCATCTGACTTATTTTGTATCTTATTTTGTACATACTATTATAACATGTTTCTGACACCTATATCGACGAATATATTCTGTTCCGATTGTTTTTTCTACATGTTATTTTAATATTAAATTTAGTTAAAATTAT